TAAATTCAGACTTCTCGGCTACTGGACTGTGAGAAAATAAACTTCTCTTTGTTAAAGCCATCCACTTGAAGTATTTCTGTTATAGCAGCACTAGATGACTAAGACAGGATAAAGGTGCAGACCTGGCATAACTAAGGTGGAGACAAAAACAAGGGACCCAGAAAGGCATTACACAGAGAAAGCTAAACTCTTAAGGCCTACTGGGGCACCCGTAAACAACTAAAATTATTATTATTTTCCTTCTAGCTGCCCAAGATCGGAACTCCCTGACTGACCTCATTGCCAGTGGCCAGCTAGGAAAAAAAAAAAAAAAAAGAGGTTCATGGTTTCCAAGCCGTCTGCAGTTTTTCCTTCTCCCCCCTCCTTTTTGTCTGTTATAAAAATCCTCTTCTCACTTTTCTTAGATGAAATCTATCTATGGGTTCACCTCTTTACAAGTAAATAATATGCAAATAATTAACTCAATATCTTTGAGTTATTCTTTGACACTAGGCTCCAAGTAACCTTTGATTTGTCATTCAACATCTTGGGTCTCCTTTTGCTCATCTGTACAATGGGGATAATAGCCCCTACCTCTGGGATTCTTGCAAGGATTAAATGAGATAATCCATGTAAAGAATTCAACACGTGGCTGGCCTGTAGTAGGTGTTATTGCTCAATTATTATCATTGTCTTAGTTTCCTATTGTTGCTGTAACAAATTACACATGCTTAGTGGCTTGAAACAATACAGATTTATTCTCTTAAGGTTCTGGAGGTCAGAAGTCTGAAGTGAGCCTTACAAGGCTAAAATCAGTGTCAGCAGTGTTGCGTTCCTTCTGAGGGCTCCAGCGAGAATCCATTTCCTTGTCTTTTCAGCTTCTAGAGGCCGCCTGCATTTCTTGGTTCATGGGACCATCCTCCCTCTTCAAAGCCAGCAAATGGCACCTTCTCTCTCACTGACCCTGACCCTCCTGCCTCCCCCTTATGAGGATCCTTGTGTTTACATTGGGCTCACCCTGATAATCCAGGATAATCTCCCTATCTCAACATCCTTAATTTAATCACATCTGCAAAGTCCCTTTGGTATGATGGATCAATTTTGTGTGTTTTTTCTTGCCATGGTCTTGTAACTCCCACCCAAGTGATTGTGCAAATAAGGTAATTGTGGCCCACCAAGGGGATTGGTCAATTTTGCCATCCTGCTAGGCTTAAAAGAGAGCCAATTCCAGAGCAGAAGGAGGATCTCATCACCACCAAGGAAGAATACCCAGGAGTGGAGCGTGTCCTCTGGACCCGGGATCCCTGCAGTGAGAAGCTCCTGGAACCAGCAGACAGAGAGAGAGTGCTGTAAAACTGAAGACAGCAAGAAACGGTGGCAGAGAAAAGAGGAGACTGGCAGGAGACGGCATGGCAGGCTTCGTGGCCTATGGAGCAGGAAAGCTGAGTGCCTTTGGGTAGGAGGCTTGCTGGTGGAATAGGATGCCTCTGGGCACTAGGTGGAGCTAGGTTTGCTGACCCACAGAGCTAGAGCTGAGTGCCTTTGGGCCACAGCTTATTGGCAGAGTGGAGTGCCTCCAGGCACTTATCAGCAGAGCTAAAAGAGCTTTGTAACACTTGACTGAGCAGGGCAGAGGCCAAGGGGCCAGAGAGAGGCATGCCTGCAAGTACAGCTGCGAAGAGGCGGTACTTATGGAAGAAATGTATCCTGAGCGTACCTCAACCTGAATTGTAATGTGTTACTTTCCTAATAAACCCCATAATTGTAAGTATTGTCTGTGAGTTCTGTGTGGTCATTGCAATGACTTATTGAACCCAGCAGAGAAGTGGAGAGTACTGTGGGAGAGATAGTTGGTGTCAGAATTGGTAAAGATGGTGGAGAGAGGAGGCTTGTCTGACTTCCGCCTCATAGGAATCAGTGGGCTGTTGATCTTGAGTCTCCTTCCCCCTCGTGAGGATAGAGGAGGTCAGATGCCTCTGCCATGCCATTTTTACTGTCCTATTTGCCATGTAAGGTAACATAGACACAGGTTCTGAGGATTAGAATACGGACATCTTTGGAGGGCCAAAATTATTCTGTCTACCACAATCATTAGATGTATAACTTATTTTATAAGGATCAGTACAAAGCTGGTTCCCATGAGGCAGAGGTTAAAGATGTCCCAAATGTTCAACTTTTTTAAACTGCTCTACTACTCCATCTTCTCTAACACCAACTACTCCTCCTCTCCTCAGCACTCTCCCTCCCATCTTTGGGTTCCATAATTCATTGCAACATCTCACAGAACTCATGAACCGTATCAAGGAAATGGCTCACGCAGTTGTGGAGGCTGGCAAGTCCCAAATCCGTGAGTCAACGTAGGCTTCTCCTGACTCACTTGGCCACTGGGGCAACGAACCCAAATTGGCAGGCCAGGTGACAGGCTGCTGGCTCACAAGGCTGCGGAAGCTGGCAAATCAGGTCAGATGATAGGTTGCTGGCCCACGGGGCTTCAGAAGCTTGTGAATCCCAGAATTGGCAGGTCAGACTGCAGACCACTGGCTCAAGTTACAAGAACCTGAGGCTAGACAGTGATGAGCCAGACATAGGATCCAGATGCAGAGAGAGAGAGCCCAGCAAGAGTACCTACATATATACATTGGGTGCAGGCCACACCCCAGGGAAGGGTGTGACTTGAGTAACAGTGGGACTTGAGTCATGCCTTCCTGCAAGGCTGTGACTTAAGATACACCTCACACCAATCCTGCCTCAATAACATATAGAAGTTAAGATTTACAGCACATAAAATGGAGGATAATTATATCAGATCACAAAATGGAGGATAGCCACACAATACTGAGAATCATGGCCTTGCCAAGTCAACACACAACCCCAATCATAGCAGGCTCCATGTACGTTATTCTCATAGTCCCACTCTATCATTGCGTATGAGTCAGAAAGACTATGGCTGGAAGGGCCATATTAAGTGTGATGTGATGGATCGCTTTTGTGTGGCCTTTCTCGCCATGGTCTTGTGACTCCCACCCAAGCAATTGGGTGGGACTGTGCAAATGAGGTAATTGTGGCCCACCAAGGGGACTGGTCAGTTTTGTCTTAAAAGAGGTCCAATTCCAAAGCAGAAGAGGATCCCAACACCACCAAGGGAAGAACAGCCAGGAGCTGAGAGCAAGTCCTTTGGACCTAGGATCCGTGCACTGAGAGGCTCCTGGAACCAGGAGACAGAGAGAACGAGAGAAAGAGAGAGTTCGAGAAGTGGTGGCAGAGAAATGACGGCAGGAGACGGCATGATGGGCTGGGGAGACGGAATGGTGGGCTTCCTGGCTTACAGAGTGAGAAAGCTGAGTGTTAGGCAGAAGGCTTGCTGGTGGAGTACAGTGTCTCTGGACACTTACTGGCAGAGCTAAAAGAGCTTTTAGCTCACTTGCCCAAGCAGGGCAGAGGCTGAGGGCCAGAGAAGCGTGCCTATGAGCACTGCTGGGAAGAGGTTGTCCTGATGGAAGAACTGTATCCTGAGCATTCCTCAATCTGAATTATAAAGAATTATTTCTCTAATAAACCCCATAACCGTATTGTTTGTGAGTTCTGTGTGGCCCCTGCAATGAATTACTGAATCCAGAAGAGTAGAAAGTGCTGTGGGGAGAGATGGTTAGTGTCAGAACTGGTAAAGATGGCAGAGAAAGGAGGCATGTCTGACCTCCACCTAATAGGAATCAACCTTGGGATGCCGATCTTGATTCTCCTTCCCCTTTGTAAATTTAGAGGAGGTCAGACACCGTCTCCACACCGTTTTTACAGTAAGTAATTCACTGCACGGCAATCATTAATATTTTTATCAAGGCTAACTCTTTTAACTCTCATTACAATTCCATGATGTAGATACTTGTGGGGAAAGGAGTTCCTTTATGTGGACTTTTGCCTTGATTCTTTGGAAAAACAGCTTGAGGAATTTTGTCCTTAAACCCTGAGGAGTTACCTTTGCCCTCCATACGTATTTATATGGAGAGAGATTTATCTCAAGGAAATGGCTCACGTGGTTGTAGAGGCTGGCAAGTCCCAAGTCTGTGTCTGTGTGGTCTGTGAGTTCTGTGTGGCCATTGCAACAGATTTTCAAACCCAGAATAGAAGTAGAAAGTGCTGTGGGAGGGACTGCTGGTGTTAAAATTTGTAAAAAGGTTGGAGAGTGGAGGTATCTCTGACCTTCACCTCATAGGGATCAGCCTTGCGCTGATCTTGATTCACATTATCCCCCTGGAAGGTAGACAGGTTCTGATGCTGATGCTGCTACTACTATCACCATTTCACAATACTGTTTTATTCCCATTTGGAAACCGAGGCACAGAGAGGTTAAGTAACTCGCATAAGGTCACACAGCCAGTAAGTGGTGAGGCAGCAACCCAACCCAAGAAGTCCATTTCTGGAGTTCATGTTCTTACGAGTTGAAATATGTACAGAGTAAATACTATATTACTATTATCTATAATTATTGTTGTTATTTATACCAAGATTAATATAATAACCCTTATCTCATATGACTTTTGCGAGAATTAAATACATTTACATGTGAAAAGCGCCAGACAGTGCCTGACATACAGCAGGCCCTCAAAGGATATTCAGGATTTTCCGCTCCTAAAACCGAAAAAAAGAAACAAACCAAACCGGTTGCTGTGGAGTTGATTCCGACTCATAGCTACCCTACTAACCACTTTTACTCTGTAAAGACGCCCTCATTCACTCCGCCCTTCCCATGATGGCGCCATCGCCGTCCTCCACCCAATCCGCCGCATTCAAGATGGCGTCCGTTGCTCAGAAAGGCAAATTATGCCCTTCTCAAGATGGCGCCAACCCTGGCGCTTCTTGCCTTCCTCCCTCTTCTAAATGACCTTAGCAGTTAACGACAATGTACGCAGCACACTTGGACCTTCTCAACATGGTGCCGAACGTAATTTTCTTCACGCTGTGACCTTTTCAAGATGGCGCTAGCGTCGCAAACTCACGACGCTCGCCATCGGTGTCTAAGCATACACTTCCGGTTGCGCTACAGACGGGCGTCTCAGGCCTGGAGGGAATCCTGGGGGGGTTCTCTTGGTTCTGGACGCCCCAGAGCGACCATGGACCGGAGGAAGAAGGCTTTGGACGTCACTACCTCCTCGGTGAGTGCGGGCTGTGGGTTCTCCCCGCCTCCAGCAGACAGAATCTCGACCTAGCCTGTTCTTTCACTCAGGGACCCAAGCGTGGCCTCCGCCCTCAACCAGGAACCTGGACCTGGCTTCACTTCTCAGACAGGGGACCCGGGCAAACTTTCTTACAAGGTCCTGAACTTAGTTTCTCCCCGCAACATGGACCCGGACTAGGATTCTCCCCTCAGACACTAACTTGAACTTGGTGTTTTCCCTCGGTCAGGAATATCCTGTCTCCCTCTGCCACAGCCGGCCAGGAGGCCTCCTGTATGCCAGGACCTGGACCGTGCCAGGCTTGCCTCCCTCGACGGTCGGGGAATAACCTCGGTCTGCCCTCCTTGCTTTGCAGACATACTCCCCTTCTTCATTCCAGGAACCCGCTAGCTTTTCCCACATCTTTAGAAGTGTGACTTATTTCCTAGAGATCTGATAGCTGTTAATACCCCCGTCTTATAGATGAAGAAATTGAGGCTCAGAGAGATGAAGTGGCTTCATCCTGGTTACATACAGAATTCTTAGTGATAGAACTGGGTTCACGCAGGCTGGTTGACTCCAAAGCTAATGCCTTTTCCATTACATCAAAGCAAACTTTTGATTTACACTTGAATTTACTGCAGAGTATTAGGATGCAAAGAGAGTACAAGGGAAATCATTTAAGTGTCCACATATTTGCGCCCCTTTTCTTTGTCTACTGTTGAAAATGGGTAGTTGTTACTACGTTTACTTGAGGATTAGGAACCAGAAAACTATAAATATTAAAGTCATCCTAACAGGCTAAAATTAGTAATTATCACAACAGGAATGTCGTCTGGGTATTGCTAGTTTTCTGAGCATCTTGCTTTTACAATTTCAAGTAGTAGAATAGGAGAAAGTGTGGAGAATTGAAGGTGGTTAAGGAGTCTTAAACAAAAAAGCAAAAGTTCTTAATTTGTTTTTAAAATTTTAGAATATTAGGCCCTGAAATGAAACTACCTTTTGCATTATTAAGATCCCTGCCAAGGTTACTTTTAAATTGACTTCTATCAAAATAGAAGTCATTGAACTCAGTCATTTTGATTTCTCTAAAAATCAGTCAGTGATGTTGGGTTTACCATATGAAGGAGCCAAGTGCAGTTCCAGTCAGAGAGAAAGTGCTTGATAATGTTGGTTGAATCTGAATCTAAAAGATGCAGACTTCGTTTATTTCCTTCACTTTATCACTCTCCCCTTGCCCAGAGGACAGACAGCCTTGACTGTTGAAAGTAGAGTGGAATTGCATTTGCAGCAGAGCTGGAAGGAAATACCACTTGTGTTTATTTTGTACTGGATTGCACATTTAAAACATTTAATTTTGCATCCATTTTATTCATTTAGAGGAACTTAAAATCTTGCTTTGAGAATTGCAGTAACTTAGAAATCCAGTCACCTATTAGAATTAATTTAATGTTTTGATTTGCTTATTGATTTTATTCTAGTTGGTAGACCTTAAGGCTGAACTCTTTCGAAAACAAGAAGAATTCAAACAAGAAAAACTTCTGAAAGATTCTGGAGTTTCAGGAAAGCCAAAAACAACTCATAAGGTAAAAAAATAAGATCTCATTATCTCCACTGAGTCTGAATGTGGGGGAATTATACCATATTTAAATTTTTTGGAAATGCCAGTCATATCCACTCCGTATAAATATTACAGGAAAATCCCTGTGTTGTATTTGGAACATCTGCATGAAATGTTTTAAAAATTAAAACAGAAATAAGTAAGATTATTTGAAAGCACATAATAATGCTCAAATTCTTTAGCACTTCTTTTAGAAAAGTATATGCTATTAATAAATAGATTCTTTATATTCCCATAGAAGATTATTTGGTTATATAGGTATTACCAGTCTAAACAGAGATAAACAGTTGAATGATATGAGCATATAGCAGAAAGTATTGGCGTTTTTAAGAGTTATGAATGGTTTTCCAATTTCAGTGCTAATGGTATCTACTCTTTGTGTTACTAATTCTCTGTAATATGTACATTTTTATTAGAACCTTTAATTAAGTTGTAATCATTCAGGAGATAAAAGATAGAGAGGTCCGTGTATTCAGTTGTATAAAGAAATTCTTCATACAATTTAGGGCTTTTTTTCTAGTTCCAGCTGCTGTGCCATGCACGTGTCTGTTTGTAAGACATAGGTTAGCTGTCGTAAGACTAGTCTCCACTGAGTGATGAGGTCTGATGATTTTTTTTTTTCTGGTGCACAAGTAGAGATTTTTTGCAATCGTGTGGTGGTTCTGTCTTGTCTTTTTAAATTATTCTCCAGAAACCAAGTATCTGGAGCAAACAGAATGCAGGAGTTTCAAATCGAGCTGAGAAGGATGCCGAGCAGAAGATTGAAGAACAGAAGACTCTAGACAAAGCAAGGTAAAGTTAAGCACTGATAAATGTAAAATTACCTTTGAGGCTACCTAAGCAAAGAAGTGAAAAGTTCCAATTTTACTCTTTTTGATTAACATTTTTAATTTTTATCATCCCTCTAGCCAAATACTCTTTATTATAATTTGCAAATGTGTCTGTAGTCTTTTAAGAAGGTAAGTTTAAAAGAACTAGAGTCCCACTTTGAGCCTTTGATAAGCAATAAGATTATCAACAAATGTTTAAGAAGAGTCCATATAATGTGGTCTGGGCTAGGTGGTATGACAGCATTTACAAACCCTAGATTTTTTTCTACAACTTTTATTTTGAAAACTTCAAACCAACAGAATAAGTGAAAGAAGAGTACAATGAACGTTCTAATACTCTTCACTTAAATTCACCAGTTAATATCTTGCTACATTTGTGTTCTCTGTCTGGTTTTCTGTGGTTCTCTTAGATGCAAACACAGGTGCATGCGTGTGTACATGTGTATATGTGTATGTAGAGAGAGACTTTGTTTCTCAGAACCATTTGAAAGTAAGTTGTAAGCATCATAATAGCTTACCTCTAAATATTTCAGCATGTATCTTCTAAGAACAAGGACATTCTCCTACATAACCACAGTACTGCTATCACACCAAGAAATTTGACACTGATTAAATGGTATTACCTATTATACGGTCCATATTCAGATTTCCCCAATTGCTCCAACCCAGCAATGCCCTTCATAGTTTTTAAAAAACTAATCCGGAATTCAATCAAAGGTTACGCATTGCGTTTAGATGACGTCTCTTTAGTCTCGTTTAATGTAGATTAGTTCTTTTGCCCTGTCCTCATTGACTCGCATATCAGTTTGAGTTGTTATTGGTGATGATAAGTTTGATCACCTGGCCCAGTGGATCTGCTGAATTTCTCCACTGTAAAGGTGCACTTCTCCCTTTGTAATTAATAAGTAATCTGAGAAGGGAATTTCTTTTTTTTTTTAAATTGTACTTAAGGTGAAGGCTTACAGAACAAATAGTTTCTCATTTAACAGTTAGTACACATGTTGCCCTATGACAATGGTTAACAACCTCACAACACATCAACACTATCCTTACTCAACCTTGGGGTCCCTATCACCAGCTTTCCTGTTCCCTTCTGCCTTCTGGCCCTTGTCCCTGAGGAGGGAAATTTTGAAACTAGATATCCTGTTCCCAAACACGTTTCTGTACAGTGGTTTTGTCGTCAGTGATCAGCATTGCCACTTATCAATTATTACATTGATGGTTTCAAAATGATGATTTTTATAATTCTATCGTTCCATCTTTATCATGCTTTCAATCCGTCTATTAACTAGAAGTCTTCTGTAAAGAAGAGTACCCCCCTTTTTGTAGTATCACCCAGAGCTCATAGAAAATCCCAGGTTTTGACATCTGCCATGACTGCCCCATGTGCTTTAGGATACATTGCTTAATAAAAACTCTGATTGCAAACAGTGGTTGCTAAGGTTGTTCAGCTCTTTTGGGTCTGTAAATAGAAGGCAGACTATTAGCCCATGTTGGGGATTGATTTTCTAGTGACATGAGACTTTCTTTACTTAAAGAATTATTAATTTTTTAAACGCTTTTGCATACTGGACACATTCTCAGAATTTTAGTTTTGTTGAAAGGTACCAGAATCTGTTACCATGTACTCTGTATAACAGAGTTCTTGCTACTTTGCTGTGGTTTTTCTGTCCAGCAACTTTTTATGTAATCTCTGGTTTTAGTGTGCTTGTGAGGAGTCAGGTCTGGGCTGTCTGTGGTCGCTGGGACATCTGCATCTCCTAGGCACTAGCCCGCTTCATGAGGGTGTAGGATATAAGGCCTTTGGCAAGTTACTTATCCATTAAGACTCTCTCTTCATCTGCAAAGTGAGAGGTTAATAGCTCATGAAGTCCTTTAGAGATACATAGTGTCCGGCACATTGTGGGCCCCAGATCAGTGCCCCATGCTCTTGCACTTTGAATTCCATCTTCTTTACTCAACTGAAGAAATTGTTCTTTAAAGTCACCAATGACTTCCTCAGCTACTAGATCCAGTGGCCATATTTCTGACATCTTCTTTAATTACTATTATTCATTTATAGACTATTCCTACCATCTTCAAACTATCTTTCTGTCCCACTGCATCCAGTGTGTCCTTTTCAGGTACTCTTATCCCTGCCAAGCTCTCTGTCTTTGTACCACTCTCTCCTTTGCTCATCACTCTCTACCACACGGGTGTTTCCTACTTGAACGTGTCAGCTCAATTCCTACTTAATGTTCCCTCTGCCTGACTTGCTTTCCCCCCAGATCCTCCCATGGTTGACTGCCTCTTACTATGCAAGTCTTAGCTCAAATGTCACCTTCAGAGGAGTTTTCCTTGACTACTTTATGTAAATTAGCATCCCGCTCAGTTACTCTATCCCGACACTTAGTTTTTAAATATTTGTAAGTTTTATTTTCATTAAGACAGTAAGATTCTGTGATGACACAGCTTGTTACATTAAGTTCCCTCCAAAATCAACATTACGTTGATGATTTCAAAATGATGATTTTTCTAATATGATCAAGCTGGTCCACCAAAGCTATGTTAATTCATAGTAAAGAGCTTCCATTGACAACATCTGCTTTTATTTCCTTTACAGCACTCTTTTTTCAGTGATTTATTTATTGTATCTCTCCCCTTCTAGAATGCAAACTTCATGATAACTGAGACTTTGTCTTGCTTACTGCTGAATCCTCAGCACCTAAAATAGTGCTTGTAACATAGGAGGCACTCAATAAATACTTGTTGAATGAATGTGTAAAGTAGGAGTCTTTCTGACATAAATGAGGGTGATGAAGATGATATCATTAACGGCATTCTTGATATGTGTTACCTAATTAATCATCATGACAACCCTTTGAGGCAATCCTGTTATTTTTGTCTATTACAGATATGGGACTGAGGCACAGAGAGGTTAAGTAACTTGTTCAAGAGCACATGGCCATGTGACCAAGGGACTTGCCTTTGGATGTCATTAGAAATGAAATTTTTTATTATAATAAGTGTGATCATTCTCAAGGGAAAGCTCAGATGACCTCTTCAGAGCTTCTCTTTATCATCAAGTATTTCCAGAATAAAAAATTGCAGTCGTCTTACTTGATCTGTGCCTACTAAAAACAAATGTCACCAGAATTAATGTTTGCAGAGAGTGTGCTTTGTTGAAATACCAGGGTTGATGTTTATTTTTTTATTAGCTTTGTGTCATGAATAAATTACTCATCCTCTGTATAAAACTAATAGATACTATCCTGTTCTTACCAGACTTATAAGAGGTTGATCTCTAGCTCCCTAATAAGCTATGAATGACCAAGAACCGTTGTTTAAAAATTGAGCAGTGCAAAGAGTTTTGCACTGAATTTGTTGATTCTTTTGGAAGATTGCAAATAGAAAATATTTTTGTTTAGACAGATCTCTCTTTCTTGGCATTTAAATTGCATTTGACATTTGAGTGAAGTTGGAGCCTGAACTCAGTTTTTTCATTTGTCAAATATTTCTTGAGCATCTCCTGTACAGCAGGTTTGATTTGTGAGTCATAGTTCAGGGGCAAAATGCGGGCTGAAGTGGGGAGATATAAATATTGGAATGATTGCATATGGATGGCCTTTGAAGTCATGGGTCTGGTGGAATCATCTAGGGAGCATGTAGAGATTGAGCAAAGGTCAGGGACTGAGCCTAGGGCTTTCTGACATTTAGAGGTCATAAAGAAGACAGGAGCCCACAAAATAAACTGAGAAGGACTGGTCATTGATGTCAGAGGCAAACTAGGAGAATGTGTTATCTGAAGCCAAATGAAAGGTTTCAAGAAGGAGGGGAGTGGTCACCTGAGTCAGACTGACCAGTGGATTTGACAAGATGGAGGTTGTTGATGACCTTGAAGAGTAGTTGCCATGGAATGGTGATTTGAGAGTCTGGCTGTAGTAGTTTAAAGAGAGGATAAATGTGAGGAAGGGGAGACTGAGCATAGACTGCCCTCTCGGGAGGTTTTATGGGAAAGGTGGGGAGAGAAAAAAGATGATTGCTCAGGGGAGATATGGATCAAGAGAAGGTTTTTCAGAGTTACTACAGCATGTTTGAATGCTGATGTGAATGGTCTAGTACAGTGGTTTATCAGAGTGAATCACCCGAGGGCTTCTTGAAACACATATGCCAGGGCGTCACCCCAAGGGACTCTGATGCAGGAGGTCTGGGTGGGGCCTGAAAATGAATATTTCTCACAAGTTCCTAGGTGATGCTGATGCTGCTGGTCCAAGGACCACACTTTGGGAACCACTAATCTGAGAGGGGAAATGTGACCATGCAGGAGAGAGAGCATAGTTGGAGGTGTCATGTGCCTTAGCCAGGAGCAGAGAGAGTTCCCCTGTAGTAATGGAAAGGAGGGCAGAGCATAAGAGTATAAATCCTGGTGATGGACAGGTGAGGAGTCCTTGCTTGACTGCTTTTCTTCCCTGAGTAGACTAAGAGTTGAGGTCTTCAGCTAGAAACGAGGAAGGAGAGGGTGTATGGAGGTTTGGAGGGAAGCAGGGGTGGGAAATCAGTTTTACAAGAAAGACATAGTAAGGTTTCCAGGTAGTGCTGAGCACCCACTTGAAATTTTTAGCCACAAATTTGAACTCATCAGCACAGTTGTGTGTATTTTTCTTCAGCCTCTGTTCGGCTGCTAAAGATAGTGGGAGAGTGGGGTGTAAGCTGGTGTTTACTGAGTGATACAACAGAGGGAACGAGGGTAGAGAGATCAGACTTTACAAGGGCCTGATGTGGGAAATGAACCAGGACTCTGAGCTGGATATGGAGATGGGTAAGGACAGAGGGGTCTGATGGGCAGTGGAAAAATGGGTCAGAGAAACCAGTGAGAGGTGAGAATTAGCTGGAAGGATAAGGAGGTAACGGTCAGAGTGTGGAGTGCTTGAAATGGAGATGTTAGGGTACAGGGTATGACCCTGGGTATGGGTGGCTGAGATGGGCTGGAGAAAAATGTCACTGGGGATGAGGTTAGAGCTCTGGATGGATTGTTCCTGAGAATAATGGTAGGAGGAGGGTGGACAGGAAGACAAGGAGCCAGGTGCTAAACATTTCAGTGGATAAGGGAGATTGTTGGGGAGAACTATGAATGACAGCCATAAAGAGGTAGAGTGGGATAGTCTGATGATGAGGACTTCAAAGGAATTGGGTTTTTGAGAGAAAAGGGAGAATAGATAGTCTGAAGGTGGCAATGAGAATTCCTATTCTCCCTCCAGGCCCAGAGGTAGGAATTTGGGAGAAAAACAACCAGTGCTTCAGAGGCCTGTAGGAGAGTCAGATGTGAAAGCAGAAGATAAAGACAAAAGGTTAGGGGCATAGGAAATTTGCTGACGACAGATCATGAGGGGAGGCAGAGTAGAAAGATTTGGGGCTTGGCAAGGGGTGGGATATGGGGTCAGTTAGGGTCTATCCAAACCCTGTAGTGGCGACAGGTAAGCAGGGCTGGTGTCCTGGCGTGGGTGGGTCTGAGGTCCCCTCCAGAAGGGGTTGGTCTGCTGTAGTTACGGCTTCTTGTGAGAGTGGTTCTCTTGGGCATATGGAAACAGTTGGGCTGAGATGGGGGAAGGGAGGGGAAGCCTTACAAGGAGTAAGAGTGGTAAGACCGTTTCTAATACTTGTTTTTTTATCTCGTAGGGAAAAATTAGAAGAAAAAGCTAAATTATATGAAAAAATGACTAAAGGAGACTTTATAGGTAAATGCAATCATTTATTTATATTTCTTTATTTTCTGCCATTCATAGCCCTGATGGTATTACATTATCTGTTAAAATAACCAAGAATAGGGAGAAATTTTTTAAATGAAATGGATTACTTTCTGTGGCAGCAAAGAGACAAGCAAATTGACATTAATTGACTGGTTGCCCACTGTGTGCCGGGCAGCACGTTAGGTGCTGTAAGGTGCAGTGTCATCCAGATTCTCTGCCTCTGCCCTCGAGGTGGGCACACAGGTGGAGAACAGCACATAACAAAGCAAAGTTAGGAAACAAGGTCTAAATAGGCCACAGTTATGCTCCATGATAGCTATGTTTCGACACCAACGAAAAAAAGACTAGTGGATGGAATTATGGTTATATAACAGTGATCTGGTTGTTTCCTTTTCCCCTGTTTTTCTCTATTTTCTGTGATGTGTTTATAACTGCTTTTAAAAGTAAAAAGAATGAAAAAGATCCCCCTTTGCCTTACTCCCCTCTCCCAAAAAGAAAACCCAGCCCACAGTTAGACAGTAGTAGAAGAGATTTCACCAGGCTGTGCATATTTTATTGCCAAAGGCAGGGAACATGAATAAGCTGTCAGGGAAGTCTTTAGGGAGAAAATAGGTTCTGATGTGGGTCTTAAGGCTTTGGAGAGTTGGAGAAAGGGATTCTGCAGGGGAGAGCAGAGCAGTGAGAACAGATAAGCAGAGGGAGGAGAGGGCTCAAGCTTTGGAGAGCAGACGAGCATGGCTGGGGCGAGGAGGGTAGGGTGCAGCAGAGCAGCAGGAGAGAAGCAGGTGTGGACCCAGGTCACCTCATCCCAGACATCAGGGTTGTGGCCAGGAGCCCAGCCTAGGAGCCATGGGGGAGCACTGTGCCTTCTTACTGAAGCAGCAGCAAGGTGGTCGTCCACCAGGAGGCCACGCTGTTAAGTGGGCTTGTAATTCAGCTCTAGGAGGGCACATTTCTTCCCCAGTTGAAGTATGTTGTAGCTTTTATTTTCCTGAACAAAAAGCAGCCATTCTCTTTTGATTCAAACTCTACTCCTGTTGGTAATAGAGAAATCAAGTTCAAGGAGTACACCTGTGGACGTGGAGCTTGGATTTTTGTCAAAGCCGAGCAAGTTGATTAAGTTTTGGAGCCTCAGTTATTCTCCACAGTAAACTAAACCCGTTGCCGTTGAGTCAGTTCCGACTCATAGTGACCCTATAGGACAGAGTAGAACTGCCCCATAGGGTTTCCAAAGATCAGCTGGTGGATTCGAACTGCCAATCTTTTGGTTGGCAGTCAAGCTCTTAACCACTGTGCCACCAGGGCTCCTCTCCATTGTAAAGTGGGGATAATAACACCATCTGGTCATAGGGAACCTGGTATCTGTTCAATATAGCTTAATCTCTGCCCTCAGTGACTTAATCTTAAATCCAGTATAGTGAAATTTCATCTAAACATTATTTGGGAATACAGATACCGTGAATTAAATAAAAGTCATGGATTGCTGCTTAACTGTCTAGGTCTTGGCTTGCAAGTAGCTCGTAAGTGCTAGGGGCAGACAGTGTACATCTCTGTAGGCCCTGCAGTTCCTGGGACCCTGCCTTGACTGAAAGTGGTGTTCATTGATTGAAAAAAATTCACATGACTTCTGTTACGGCCTTTAAAACACTTACCATACCACAAATAGAGAATTAGGGTTAAATGACACAGCCAACATGATTAGGTGTATTACCTGTAGCACAAATGTTCTGTTGTCCTCATCTGATGACATGAGAAATGCAGTTCTACTTCTGTATTATGTAATTGGCTGCATGAGTCTCTTGAAATCAAACGGTTGTGTTACCTTACAATAGTATTTTGAGACGATACTGCTCACTTAGATAGTGTATTAACAAGGCAGCAGGAAACTTCAGCTGTTTTAACGATTTTTTTGTAGTATACATTTCAGATGGCTTATTTATAGTTTTACTGTCAGGGTCCCACGGTGGCTGTGTGTTTTTGTAAGCGTTCCAGGAGGGGTAATTGAGCAGCCCTGTGAGAACATGACTGTTTCGTACCAGTTCCACATATGGTTTTCATTTTTCGATGTCAGGAATCTGAAAACTGATTTTTATGTCCTAGATGAAGAAGTAGAAGATATGTACCTCGTGGATTTCACACAGAAGATCATAGACAAGCGCAAGGAAATGGATACGTTTAGTGCCAATAGAGATTCTAGAAAGGCAGAAGAAAGGGAAGATGAAGAAGAAAATCTTTCTGAAAGAGATGTACCTCCTCCCCAAGACTCCAGTGAAGAATGGTTTGTGATATTATGCCATTAGATCATGTTAACATTGTCTGACTTATATTTACTGCCTGTGTGTGTTTACTTTTTGAGAGGGCTTTTGTTTAGTTGCTGTCAAACCGTTTTTATTCCTCAGTTTTCACTCTTTCAAGACTCCTCTTTAAATAAGATTGGATTTGGTCATTTATAATAATTACAAATAATGACTGAGCTCCTGCTGCGTGCTAAGGACCATGCCAGGCACAGGGATGCATAGTGATTACGTTAGCAAGCCTGTTTTCTGCATTTCTACTGACATAATTGTTCATTAATGTGATAGAGTTGTTGAGGCTGAAGCATGTTCTGTTGTTCCCTGTGATACTGCCTTATCCTTATCTTTATTCAGACATAGTGGATAGTTGTCCAGGTAGCGAGGATCTCTGATTCTAGCAAAAAAGTTGGCGGAGTTGGTACAGTAAGTCTTGACTGACTGTGACAGTCTCTGGTAGTGTCGTATAAACACTGTGGACCTTGGGCTGGAACAGCTCTAGCTCCACTTTTTACTGGTGGTGTGACCTTGATCAGGTTATTACCTGAGGCTCAGTTTCCTCCTGTAAAATGGGGATAATAATGCCCAGCTCCTTTGATTGTTAGCCTTAAACTCCCTTCAGAAAGTATTCTAGGTTACTCAGGAAACTATCTGGGGAGTATAAGCAGACATTCGATAAACCTTAGTTGTTGAAATTACCCTGAATTTTGCCTTTATGTAGGTGAATGACAGAAAAAACCAAACTCATCCTCTCCTTAAAGAGAGACCCATGTGTCAGTAAGTAAAGACTGGAATCAAAATTCCATTATAATGATTTGTCTCTATCTAAGATAACTGTTATTTAGAAACTTGTTCAGAAGTGCTTTAAAGTTAAGTAGAGATTTGCTGATGCTGTGACGATTTCTTGGGAATACCCTGCCTCCTCACCTTCCTTCCCGTGTAGACCCCACCCATCTTCCCATCAAGGCTCAAATACCCTCCTTGTGGGAGTATCTGTTAGGAATGGCATAGGGCTGTCTGCAGCATTCATGGACCTTTTGTCAGCCATTGGCCCTGTGGGCAGGAGTCATCTCAGTGCTAGAGACCAGCTCTAGCTCTCCTTCCTGGGATAAAACAGGTGTCAAGATGTTCAAGAATACCTCCCTTCTAAAATACTTGTATCTGAATAGCTGATACCATTTAAGGTAGGTTATTTGGCTGCATGCTATATGGAGCCAAAAGAGAAGCACCTACAGTCACTCTCATTGGTGTCCTGAATTGCATGCTTTCTCCTTCATCTAAACTCTGGTAGCGGTTAATATATTTATTGCTCCTCTGGGTCTTACCTTTTATTTCTGACACATTTCTGGCCTCATTACTAGAAAAAGATTTGAGGCAAACTTTGGTAGTTTTCATAGCCTGCCTGTTGGTTGGTAAGTGTTCCATGGGCATATATGCCTTAGTGTCCCCCCAGAGCCCTTTGAAGAGGGCATGAATCCTACCCCTCCTTGTATTACCCACAACACCTTGAGTAAGACTTTGCCCACAGGAGTTTGCCCCTTAAGTGATTGCTGATTGAATAGAGCAGTTGCTGACTACTGCCTTGCCACTTCTATTTTGATGGGATCTGTATGTTTTGGAGGCCTTTTCCAGAAATAAAATAGCCTATGATTGCTTTTCATAGCAGAAATCTCATCTCTTGGAAAAGGCTAGTGTTTTGTTTTTTGGTTTTTTTTGCTTATTAATGCCTGTATGATTACAAGCAATTTGTCGGTGATTTGAGTAGTTTGGAGGGCAATTGAAGGTGTCACGTGCCACCATATGGTGAAGGAGGACACACTGCAAGCAGTTCTGACACTTTTGTTTTTAAATTAAGCCTCAGAATTGTAACTGCTTGTAAAATCCTGTTGGTAGTTAAGTTCCAGGTGGTGGAAAAGCTTTCCACAAAAATACTGTAAATAATTAGCCGACCATCTGGCTACATGGTTTTCTTCCCTCATTCATTTAAAAAAAGAAAAGGAAGAAAGAAACTGCTTTCTGCAGTTGAAGGTTCTATTTCTTGTGGTAATCAGTTTTAGGACTATAGTAGTGGATTCCCAGACATTGAGTTTTTAAATCACGGGCTAACAGTTGAAATCAGCCTATTTAAGAGGAAACAAATTGCTAACAAAAGCAAAGCCATATACATGGGAATCTGACCTTGGATTGATCAGTCAGCTAGTACTTACTGGCCACCTACTGTGTGTTCAGCACCCTGCTAAAGGTTGTAGGAGATTCCTTGCCTATAGTTTAAAAAATAAAACGTCTTTTGCATCATAATGCAAATGAACTGTTTTCCATGAAAATATATCTGTATTTCCAGTTTGGGGAAGGCAGAGTATTACATTTTGCAATGCTGTCTGCAAGATGTGGAAAGACGAATAATAGACTGGCCCCTGTTGAGATGTTTTCATGGTATAAAATGTATGTTACTTGGCTTCCTTCTAATTAGAAAGAGTCAAAAAAATTCCATGACTTAAATTAAGAAATTTCTAATTTAGTGGGAAGGAGTATACCAATTAGAAGAAATAATGGAAAGAATAAAAAGTCACATTTGGGAAGACGGAGGAAATGAGCAAGTTGAGGATCTGGAGTAAAGCAGAATAAAGTTGTTAAGATGCTGATAAAATGTTTAGAATGGTCTAAACCGTATTCAGGAGCCCTGGTGGTGTAGTGGTTAAGAGCTCGGCTGCTAACCAAAAGGTCAGCCGTTCAAATCCACCAGGCGCTCCTTGGAAACCCTATGGGGTAGTTCTTTAAACCATATTAAAGTCCTGAGATGTTGCAGCAAGGGTATGTGTGGGTGATTTATCTTTGAAATGAGAGCCATAAATGATCAATTATTTTCTACAGTTACTAAAACTAAGATTTAATAAAGGGCACAGTGAGCTTATTGTGTGTCAGTTTTTAACTTTAAAATGCATGTTCTATTCAGTGGTAATGATCTCGGAGGTTGAGGGCTCCTCTTGGTCACGAGGCTTACATTCATTCTTCACTGTGCACCAGTGTACAAAGCTGCTTTCACATCTTTTCACTTTCATTTCAGGGTGGATTATGTGGATTCTTTAGGACGATCCCGGCGCTGTATGAAAAAGGATTTGCCAGATCTGCTGGAGATGGATAAAAATCTTCAGGGGAGGCTGTAAGTGTGTGATATGCAGAGTTTTGCCCAGTTCTGAAATGCAGGCAGAGGGATTGTGGGAGTTGCTGTTTTATAATGAGATCTTTGTTGCTCCAGTAGGGAGATTGTTTATTAATGTATAAGAATGTTTCCTAAAGTACTTTTTAGTGGTTAACATACACATACACACATAACCCACACTTGGGGAACAACTTGGATGTCTGTTAGCAGGGAAGTGGTTGATCATCAGTACTGTGCAGCTACTAAAACGAATGAGTTAGAGCTATATCTTTTTGTACTTGGAAGGATATCCATAACCTGGAAAAGGTAATTGCAGAGTAACAAATATAGAATGAGCCCAAAATAAACAAAAAACACCTATGTGGAGAAAAGTGTTGTAAGAATATGCAGTTGGTTAGTCCACAAGCAAGTGAGGGCAGAGAAGTAGGTAGTTTATTATGTAACTTTTTCATTATACATCTTTGTAAGGCCCTTATAAGTAGATTTTTTTTTTTTTTTTCCTGTGGGGCCTAAGATAATTGCTAAAACATCCCAGGGAATAACATTCCTCTTGACAAGGGCAGCTTCTCTGTAAAAAGTGTTGGGAGAAGGTCCACCTTGTCAGAGTCATCTAGGTTCCTTCCTCCTGTAGGTTCCGTCTTCCTGCCTGGGCTTAGCATAAGGCAAGAAGACCAGAGACACACTGAGCCTCTCACGGTCTGGCCATCTGGCAGGAGGCACTGCCCAAGCTACGGTGTCATATAACGTCTACATCCCTGGACAAAAGACTATCCAGAGAAGGCCTGGAGTCCCTCCTCCCTGCCTGGGCCACCTCCATCTATTAAGCCCAGGACTGGGTTGGGAAGGAAAGTTATTTGTCATGAGTGCTGAGGCAAGGTTCCATTAAGCTAATGTAATGAATTGGGTGCTTGATCAAAGAAAGGTTAAGAGTGTTTTATTGATTTTCTAGTAGCATTTGGGCTAGAATACTTCTGTAGGAATTACCTTCTTGAATCAGACAGTGTTATTCATGATCCAGCTCACTGAACTTTAGATTGATTTCTCACTGCTCTTATCTGAAGATAGTTTTTGCTCTATTTTCCTAATAGTTTCATTAGTCCTGCTAATGAAAAAACCTTATTATCTGAAGATATGAGAAAAGAACTCCAGCGCCAGCAATGGGAAGAAGAAGAAAGGGAGGCCCTAAAAAGGCCAATGGGGCCCATACACTATGAAGACATTCGTGAAAATGGTATAATTATTTTTTTCCAGTTTTTTGTCTTTTCTTTTTTTTTTAAATCTTGAACTAATGGCAAGCATAAAGGGCAGTATTCATAAAGCAACAGCTCTTACACAGAAATAAAGGAGTCTGCTTTGGAAATTGTAAATATCCTCTTTGTTCCTCTGTAGCCTAAAAAGTACTCATATTTGGAAGATCCTCCTAACAGAAGGTCTGTTAATCCAAGAGTTTGTTCCCCAAGAGAAATGGAGACAGCCATGGCTGAGAATTAATTAGTTTTCTTTGTTATGCTTATCACTTGGCAGATAAGATGAAACTAGTTCTAACTTTTTTTTTTTTTGCTTAGCTTCCTTTTTTTTTGGTTTGTTTTTAACTTGTGCTAGATATCACTGTATCTCTTTTTGCTTTGGTAGGAAATTTGGCCTGAATGTAATTTACTAATCAGGAAAATCTAATCTTTTGGATAATTTTGACTTTTTCAGAGGCCCGACAACTTGGTGTTGGATATTTTGCCTTTGCCCGAGATAAAGAGCTGAGAAACAAGCAAATGAAAACTTTAGAGATGTTGCGAGAACAGGTAAAAATTAAGTTCAAAGCTGATGTTAAGAAGGATTTGAGCAGCTGGTTCCTTATTGGAACTTACTGCAAAAAATCTAGTAAATCAATTAGAAATTAAAATTAATATTCAAAATGCTATTTTATGGCTTGTATTAAGGTAATGGAGCCCTAGTGGCTCAGTGGTTAAGAGCTCAGCTGCTAACCAAAAGGTTGGCAGTTTGAATCCACCAGCTGGTCCTTGGAAACCCTATGGGGCAGTTCTGCTTTGTCCTGTGGGGCTGCTGTAAGTCAGAATCGACTCAATGGCAATGGATTTGGTTTATCAAGATAATTGCCATATAATTTTTGTGTTTCAAAACTTTAAGATTTTAACTGCTCAGAGGTAACCTGTGTACTTGGATGTTTTAAATTTGGTTTCAAATGTGGTACTTTTGGGGTAGCCTGGGTGAAAAATAGAACATTATTTAAGAGATTAAGGAATAAAACAGAATTGGTTTGTTTTCTTGAATGTTAAGTTCTCCAAGATGCTCCAAGTTGCTAAACTTTAGAAAGCATCAGAGGGCCCATGTAAGAGTATACTACTGGTCTTTATTTTGAGGATCTCAAGGATAGTTTCTTACAAGTGGTATGAAAATCAACTAATTAGTTTATTTTTAAAATAAAATAAATTATTTCATCCTTTTGAACAGAAATATTGTGAATTAGGCTTCAAGCAAATAATCTAATTTTCTACTCTATTCAGACAACAGATCAGAGAACAAAACGAGAAAACATAAAGGAAAAGCGAAAGGCTATGTTAGAAGCAAGACTTGCCAAACTCCGACAAAAAAAGATGAAGAAATCAAAAGAAGATGGAGCAGAGAAAGAAAATGGAGGTATATCATGGTTCATATTTCTAAGCTTCAAAAAACCAAACCCCTTTGAGTCGATTCAGACTTATAGCTACTCTATAGGATGGAGTAGAACTGCCCCATAGGGTTTCCAAGGTGGATTCAAACTGCCACCCTTTCGGTTAGCAGTCAGTCTCTTAACCACTGCACCATCAGGGCTCCATACTTCGAAAGGAAAGATTTTATTTCTGTTGATATTTCACTAGCAGTGCTGGCAATATGGAAATTAGCCTTTTGATTTTATTCTCTAAGCGAGCAGTATACCTTTGAGGTACTGCCAGGAGCAGTTTTTATAACCAAAGCGATATGGAATGACACTCCATAAAGTACCTTTAGGCTGTAGACCAGGATATCAACCAACAGTGCGTTGGGTTGTGTCAGAGAATGGCGCTGTTTAGTAACTGAAACTTAGAGAAACAGATCTTAAGAGAAACTTTAGTTGCATGCATATACTCTTCAGACTTAAATTTTTTGCTGTGGCTATAGTTTTTGTTGATTATTATATATTCATTTTTCTTTTTTTAAAAAAGAAATACACGCAAAATCAGATAGTAAAATAAAGAATTTAGGTTAACAAAGCTTACCAAAGGATTGCACTCTGAAAGTTGGCAATTTGGAATGTGGAGCACATTTTCCCTGGGAAACACTGTTAAATATTGTGGTTTAAAGTAGCTTATTATGTTAGTTATGCTAATATAGACTAAACTGCTGTAACAAAGAGGCCCCTAAATAGAATGGCTCAAATAGGATGGAAGCCTGTTTCTATTTTTAATAGTTTAGAGGTAGGTAGGTGTCCAGGTCAGGTTAGTAGTGCTTCCCCCAGGTGGTCATCCAGACTCAGGCCTTCTCTTGTCTTGCTATTTCTGCCATTCTTTATAGAGTGTTGCTCTTATCTGGACACTCAAAGCTTGGTCCTGAGTACCTGTCTGTGATTCAACCCAGAGGAAGTGGGAAAGGGGAGGGGAACCAGTTTTCTTTATAGGAATATGAATTGGAAGTTGCACACAGCCTATCCATTAACATCCCATTGGTCAGAACTTAGTCCCATGGGCCATGCCTATCTGCAGGGGAGGCTGGGAAATGGCCACTCTGGCAAGGTGACCATGTACCCAACTGAGACTTGGGGGGGGTCCTGTTAACAAAAGAAAGAAGTGGGGAGTATGGGTGCTAGGGGACAAGCAGAAGCCTGCCCAGCTCACACAAAACCCTGTGCTAAGCCATGGGCCATCTTCCTAACCTCTGAAAATATTTCAAGTTTAGCTTTGAAAAGAGACCAGAAACATTTAGGAACTTGAAAATTGTCTGTTTAGTTTCATATAAATGCTATCTCTGGATAACAATATTAAATTCTTCATATTGTTTCTATTTTTGCTCCATCTTCTGAACATCTCTCATTTCCAGAAGATGTGAAGTGCCACCACAGTATTTTATTAAAAATCTATTTAAAAAAAAAAAAGGCCAAAATTGGATAGTCTACACAAGCCTATTTCCAAGCTTCAGTACTTCATCACCCAACTCCCCTTGCTTTGTCCGAGACTCTTACTTTAGTTGAGTAACTTGGGAATTTCTGGTCTTTTGATTGTTGATTTGGAAAAGCAGAGTAGCACAGTGGGAAACAGAGGCTTTGAAGTCCATCCAGCCTGGTTTGAATCCTGGCTCTCATCACTTTGTACCTGTATAGAATTTCTTAGCTTAATTTTCCTAATTTGTAAAATGGGAATATCAGTGTTAACTTTATTAGGGTTGTTAGGAGAATTAAATGCAATATTGTATACAAAGTCCTAGCCCACTGTCTGGGACATGATGGGCACTCAGCAAACAGTGGTTATTACTTTTATTCTCAGATTAGCATGTTCTATTTAGTACTTTTTAAAAAAATAGTTCTAAGCTTTATTGTAATAATATCTTATTCCCTTCTGCAAAAACAGATGAAGATGTTATTGGACATTTGCCTCCAGAACCAGAAGCCTTGCCAACTCCTCCCACTGCTGCCCAGAGTAGCAAAGTAGAAGTCATCGTTCAGGAGAGGAAGGACACCAAGCCTGGAGTGCCACATGTCCGGGAGTGGGACAGAGGCAAAGGTAGGAAAGGGGGGCTCCAAGGTGTGTAACCTTTCCAATCAGTGGGCCTGTGAAGGGGACTCCTGATCAGCGTGTGGTTCTGGTGAGTCCTAGTGGTCCCAAGAGGCTTAAGGAATTCTCTAGATCCTTAAACTTGTCTCTACTTGATACTCAGAGACTAGCTGTTTGTAGACACGAGGTCTAATAAATAAGGCCAGCATCTACAAAGACCTCATGTCAAAAGGATAATATTTTTAGAGGCACTTGGGGAAGTGTTTTTAAATTTGCGCTGCTTTTGTGTGGTTCTGCAGCTTTGGAATGCCATTGCTCAGGCACAGTGTTCTAAGTATGAGGGTTTGGTATTCTAATGTACTCTGTTTTTCACATTCCTTTTATGTTGAATTGAAAACAGTGTGACAGTGTGTTAAACTGGTTCATGTATGGTTCCATTGGATTATGCAAAACCTCCCTTGGCCAGTTTTCTGTAAATACACCATGATTAGCAGGTTTTCTGTAAACGCACTATGGTGCCTACAGCAGCCTCTGTTTGAAAGAAGGCTGTGGTTTATGCCTCTTTGAAAGAGATCATTTTGGTAGTATGTTAGCTCTTGCTGTTTGAGCCGATAAGATCCAAGACCAAAGTAAGAGAAAGACAAATAGGTGAGTGTGCCTTTGGTTAGTGCCACTGTTAGAAATACCAAATTGGATTTTGATAGGTCCCTTTTATGTCTTCCAGAACTCAGTAAGGGGCAAAGCTTGTGTTTTGGTGTCAAGTACCTACAACATTATGTCAAACAAATGATTTGAGTCTTTGATTTTTCTTTATTTTTCTCTCAAATGTAATTGGCAGTCTCTCCAAAGCTGACAGCCTTTTCCACACAGCCTTCTTCTTTGGTTCTTCCCCATCTGGTGTAGTCCCTCCTTTTCCTTAGCCTGGTTTCTTACGTCTTTTCTAGGTTTTAATTATGCCTTGTATTATAGTTCTGTTGTTGCTGGACTTGTTCTCTGGAGAATTTAAGGTGGCTTTTAAGAAATATACATAATAATTAAAAAATGATAAAAATATAAAATTAATTCTAATAGTATTATCTTTCTTGTTTTCAATAGAATTTTCCTTTGGAAACTGGTCGAAAAGGCAGTCAGCTCTCCGGGCTGAGAGAGATCCTGAGTTTGCCCCACCATCAGATTACTTTACGGGTCAAAAAAGAACTGGTCCTTTTGGTGGCCAGCGGTGGAGCCGACCTGGACCTGCGCAGAGTGGCCTGGGGCCGGTTTCTGGCCAGAGCCATCAGCCCCCCTCCTCACATGCATCCTCCACCCCTGCTTCGGATGGCCCGCCACAGGCCCCCACCATCACGTTTGAAACTCTGGATGACATGATATCGTATTATAAACAAGTGACATGAACTTAAAAAGCATTCTGACATGGGTTTGTATTGTTCATGGTGCCTTCCTCACCCAGAGTGGAGGAGGTAGCTTAACTTTAGGGACTGAACTGTAACTTCCCTTCCTACCCCTTCCCTAGAAGGCAAAGGCTTCAGGTTAGATTTGTCAGCAAGAAAGGAAGTGAATGATACTGTGGGAACTGTATTGCCACTTGGCCGTTCATTTCTAATTAGGTTAGAGATACATTCTTCTGGATTTATGTATAAGCTGTGATAGAGTAGAAATATTTATTCTGTGATACTTGACACTATAGAGCTTTTAACTTATCTGGTTCATACCTGTTTCCATTCTTTACTCAGATTTAAGGGTTCCATGTCATTCCTTTTGCAAATAATAGCATGCAGGCATCTGTTCCAGGGATTCAGCTTCCAGATTAATTGATGGAGTATATATTAGGAGGAATTTTTTACCTGTCATACAATGGCAAGTGAGGAAACACTGTATCTAGTACCCAAGTGGACCCTGAAGCTGGTGGAATATTAAGCAGTAACATTTGAAATGGTAAGACAATGGAGGAGTGCTTCGTAATCCTGAAAGGTAGAATTTGAAGTTACTTACTTACTTTTATTGTCATACCATCCTAAGCGACTATTACCAATGTCCCGAGTATAGTTGGGCATTTGGTGAAATGTTGAATGACTGTGACATATGTGAGGCTCCTGAGCCTTGTCAGAGACTGTGGTGCAGTGGGGCACATTTACCTTAGCTGTACCGGTTAGAGGTTATCAGCTCATCCTATAGCCCTGGTACTCTCACTTTTGGGAACCAGGGTCACTTCAGAAGCCTGATTTGGATCAGACTTGGACCTGCATAGAGTGAGGAGTAGATAGGTCCCTTACAACTTTACTAACACTGACGGGTCAGGTTAGAGAGCTCCAGAAGTATGGCATTGTGTCTGTGTACCCACGCTCGTTCTCTGTCCATTCGCCTCTGCCTGCCATCCCTCAGGATGTTCCCTTTACAACTGCAGACAAGCAGTCAGAAGTTATCTGCCAGCCCTCTGGGTTCCTACGACCAGTGCCCAGGCCAGTGAGTCCTGCAAGAGTATGATAGAGTAGGTCCTCGAAGTGCATTGAAATAGTAGGAGGGGAGAAGAGTGAGTTGAGGGCTCAGCCCTCCTGTAGGCCTCTGGGATGTGCAGTATCTCCATTCCACAGCATCGTGGTGTCAATGGTAGTGTCCCCGTTCTCATTACAGATTGCAAATTGGAGCTTAGAGAGGTTAAATGACCTGTCCAATGTCGTGTGGAATCTAAACAGCAGATCTAGAACTTAAATCCAGTTTATGTCTAACCTCCAGACTTATGCTTTTCCCAGCACCATCTGCTCTCAGTCTTGTTGCCCTAGCAGTATGAGACAAAAATCCCAAATTCTTGCAAACTTACTTCTAAACTCCATAGCAAGGGCTAAGGTGCCAGCCCAGTTAATGGTCATTCTGTCAGCCTAATCAGGCAAGTATCTCTTTTAATAAATATACATTAAAACCAACTTACCCAGCTGCTTTTTTTGCAGAAATTGACCAGGTGATTCTAAAATCCATATGGAAACACAAGGGACCCAGAATAGCCAAAACAATCTTGAAGAAGAACAAAGTAGAGAATTCACACTTCTGATTTCAAAACTTACTACAGAGCTGCAGTAATCAAGACTATGTGGTACTGGCATAAGGATAGATACATAGATCAATGGAATAGAGTTAAGATTCCAGAAATAAACCTTTACATTTACAGTCAGTTGATTTTCAACAAGGTTGCGAAGACAATTCAACGGGCAAAGAATAATCTTTTCAACATATGTTTCTGGGACAACTGGATCTCCACATGCAGAAGATTGAAGGTAGACTCATACCTCACACCATATATAAAAATTAAAATGGATCAAAGACCTAAGTGTAAGAGCTAAAACTATAAAACTAACTGAAACTGTAGGATAAAGGGGGAGGAGAAAAAAAATTGGAATATTAAAAAAAATACAGAATTGCTTGGCATTCTAGAATTTTTAGAAGAAAGGAATGGAGGAAAACATTAATGGGTAGACAAATACGAGAAGGGATGTTGATGTAAGGTAGAACAGAAGGACTTGAGAGGCAGATGTAATCCCCTCTCAACAGCATAAATTTTGCTTAGTGTTTTGTGAGCCCCACTGTTATATCCTTTTCCGTTTCAGACCCAGAGTTAAGGTGTTAACACGCTGTAAAGAAGTTTTAGCATGTTACTCACAGGCTGTTTTGTACCAGTGTGTCCAGCAGATGGCAATAGAGTTCTTACCCACACTCCAGAGTTCAGTTTTATTCTCTAAAACAGCGCTGTCCAATACTAATATAGTGTGGGCCATGGTCGTCAATTTAAATTTTCTAGGAAGCACAGTAAACCCGTACCAAACCCGTTGCTGTCAAGTCGATTCCAACTCATAACGACTCTATAGGACAGAGTAGAACTGCCCCATAGGGTTTCCAAGGAGCAGCTGGTGGATTCAAACTGCCAGGCTTTTGGTTTAGCAGCCTGAGCTCTTAACCACTGCACCACCAGGGCTCCAGGAAGTACAGTAAAGTGAAATAAATTTTATAATGGATTTAACCCAATATCTCCAAAATATTCCAAGTATACAAGGAGCCCTGGTGGCGCAAACGGTTGGTTAAGCACTCAGCTGCTAACTGAAAGGTTGACAATTTGAACCCACCAGTGGCTCCTCAGGACAAAGACTAGGCAATCTGCTTCCATAAAGTTTACAGCCAAGAAAACCCTATGAGGCTGTTTTACTCTGTCACACAGGGTTCGCTATGAGTCGGAATCAACTTGATGGCACATAGCAACAACAGTCAGTATACAAAAATTATTGAGTTATTTTACATTTCTTTTCACACGGCATCCTCAAAATCCACTGTATTTTACAGCACATCTCAATTTGAATGCTAAATTTTCATTAGGAGTACTTGTTCTGTACTTAGATTTCATAAAATTTACAGTTGAAAAAGTAGATTCACCTACCCAAGTTGTTCCAAACATACTTAAACATATTTAAATTTTCCCAATAGCTGAATTGAGTATCAATTTTTTAATTTAATAAAATTAGAATTCAGCTTCTTAGTCATACTAACCACATTCCAGGTGCTCAAACGGCTACTGCAGTGGACAGCCCAACCCTAAAAGACCTGTTTTTACATGCTTTATGATCTGATTATACACAAGCCTCCCATTGGTAACTAAAAGATTGGCAAATAAATTCCTTCCAGGCATACAGTAAACATTCAAGATACTTTTAAGACTGTATTTATCTCGGGAGCGAGTACTGGCAAAACCTCCTGTAGGAAAATATGACCACACCTTAGTTATGTCTTTGTAGAGAGCTAAGTGAAATGTTTTGGATCAGAAATTACTTTGAATTATTTGTTTTCACTGTCATCTCCAGGCCTTTGTGTGTTTTGATACAGTTAGTTTGAATTGTCTAAATAAATCATTTTGTTTGCTCGAAAAATCCCCAAAGGAGAAAATTTAAATTCATGTACGTGAGGTTCCTGCTATGTTTAGCCATACATTTGCCAAAGACTTGAGATAATTTACTTCCTCTTAAAGCTGTAGTGCAGCCCACAGGATGGTTTTCAGCTAACCTTGTTGTGACATACAGGTAAGGCAGTAGAATTTAGAATTTGGAGTTGGGGTGGGTACTGGTCTTTACAGTTAATACAACATAGAGTAGCCAGGCCATATGTGTTTATTTCCTTTTTAAGCCAGTAAATTGAAGTACATTCGTTGTCTGTAAAGCAGTTAATGTGAAAAACTACATCTCAGGTAAGTGAAGGTAACTGATAAGAACTTGTTGACCCATTGAAAACGATGGGAGAAAATCAAACTCCCTGCTTATCCCACCTGCACTTGCGAGCTGGCTTGATGGTGAGGCATTTTGCTATTGTAGGTTGTGGGCATCGAGCTTCATGTTTAAAGTGTGTGTGTGTGTGTGTGTGAGAGAGAGAGATTGGTGTAGATCATTGTCTAGGAAAACTGAAAAATCAAAATATTCAGGTGTTCACGAGTGAAGCAAGGTGTTGTAGTGAAAACCTGTACCCAGCCTAGCACTGATCTTCTATTAGGGTATGTTTAAAATAAATCCCAGGCTATGTGTATATATTCAAGTATAATAAGTGTATGTTTGTTTGGTAATGAGAAAGGTTAGAAATACTTCTCAGCACCCTCAGTTTAAACAACAACTTTCTCTACGATATTTCTAACTGCCGTGTTTTCCCTAACTCTGAAAGCTCACATGCTTGGCGGCAGTTTTTCTTGGTATTGAGCATTTCCCCTGGGGTATGTTGTATTCTTTTCAATATCTACTTGTTCATTATCAGTAATGGAACTTCCCTGAGTTTGAATACTTACTTAGGAGACTTGGTCCCTCAGGTTCACCTCACCCCTGTTTTCAAAATACGTTGATCCACGGTTTGCTGTTTCTGGCTAACATGGATTATGTTGGTGGTGGCTTTTGTTCTTTGTGATGTTAACCGGAAAACCTGAGAATGGACCCTACTCCCAGCCCAGGGTCTCCCAGCTCACAAGTGCTGCTGTCTTTGCAGGGGATCATCTTTCCAAAAATGATCATCTTTACCTTAAAAAGAGAAGAATTTATATCTATGCTTCCAGTCATGATCTGCATAGATTTTCATGTGCCGTGTATATGTATGTATACCATTTGGTTCTTTTTTTTTTTCCTTTTTATTTACTGTCATCTCTAGAGCTGAGCTTCTCAGTTATTATTTTTTTTTATTCTCAGTTATTTTTAATGGCTGCCCAGTAGGTCCTGAGATTAATATACATCATTGATGATCACATCCCCAGTTATTGGCTGTCTGCATTCTTTCACAGTTATGTATTGAGCAGCTATAAGCATCGTTTAATTTGGTTTAGCAACCATTCATCTTTATACAAGTACCTCTCCTCCCCCTTTGTAAGCAGTCCCCTTGGGCATTATTTTCCAAAGTG